TTAATTGGCAAATTTGGCGATTGTGAAGTTTTTAAATACAAATTTCACTGTAGTATTTTAAGTGCAGTACATTAGCCTGAATGCCCTGACTTATTACATAAACTAGTAGCTCATGTGTGCATATTAGCAAGACACAAGTTAACTATATTTGTTTTTGTCTTTAGGATAATTAGCTGTAAACTGGAGGCACAGGAAGCTTAGTTATTTGTACTATTTTTTTGTATACTCATCTCTACACAAGAGTAGAAAAAGGAGGCGTGGAGGGAGGGTAGAGACTAAGTCTAATCTCCCGACCTGATATTTAGATTTTTTATTCAATCAACATATTTGTTTGACAAACAGGAGTATAAAAAGGGCTGGGGCTCAATTCTCCTTTTTGATGTGTGCACGTGCTAGTAACCTACCATATGACATTACGAAAGACTACAAAATAGGAACATGATAGAGACAGGATCATGACCAGTATGTAAATGTTGTTTTTGGTTTGCTCACATAAAAACAACACAAAGTGTTTATTTTGGGACCCATGTGTGAGTGCATTTTTTCGTTATTCCAGTACAACCTGATGTGACAGTGCATATTTACAGAAGGACTGATCAGTATTTGGAAACTGAAAAAGGATGTTTGATGAGCCTCTGGGCAGAGGTGAGCTGTTACAACAGGTGTGTGTGTGTGAGATACCCTTGAAGGCAAATTTTAGCTTAAACCAATTTTAGCTTAAACCAACCAGCTCTAGGCTAAATACAACACGGTTTCATATTGTAATTTACACACAGCGGCTGTTCAAAGGGATCAACAAATTTCATATCAAATTTCTAAAGAGATAGAAAATTTCAATAAAAGTAGGGGTAAAGTTTCTTTATGTACAACATGCTTTTAGTCATGTTGTCTGACATTGAACAAACGAAAACAAAGATATCTTTACTTTGACCCTTTTTTAACAGGTTTACAGTGTACTATAGGAGTGTTGCTGTGGTTGTTACAGAGGAGGGTAACCAATGCAATGATCTAGACTTTTAAAAGCTTTTTTTCTAAGAATTAAACATGACATAGGGAAACCTGACCCCATGATTGTACTTTATGTCTGTTAAAGTATGATTGAAATAATTAAATAACTGATTTACCATATGTCAGTCTTTTTTACATCTGTTTGCTGAGGTGTCTTGCTTGTTTCTTTCAGCTCATAATTTCGAACTCACAATTGGTGCTGGATCGTAGAGTGTGATCATGGACCATGGATCATGACGTGTTGGCAGCTGATCATGGACTCTGATTACAACAAGACTGCTTGACATACAAAACGCCTACTCACATATTCTACCATTACTTGACAATAACTCCTCAATTAATTTGTCATTGTTCCATCAGACATTTTTTATGTATAAATACTTTAAACATTAAAACACATTTCTTTTATGTTAAAAACCGTTTCATCTTATCATTGTTGTAAATATTGTTTTTTTCAATGTGTTTAGTTACACAAGACATCTATTACACTCCTGTGAGAGGGATCCCTCACATATGGCTCTCTCTGAGGTTTCGTTTTTGTCCTGTTAATAGGATTTTTGGTAGTTATTTCTTACTCTTGTTGAGGGTTAAGGACTGAGGATGTCGCACCTTGTTAAACCCTATTAGACAAATTGTGATTCGTGAATAGGTGCTATAGAAATAAAATTTTACTGATTGATTGACAGTTCAAATAGCTGAAGAGTAAATTCAGACCTTTAAGGTTCTAACAGACAGCACAGCCTTAGAGGGACAGTTCCCAAAAAATGAAAATGCACTCATTATCTACTCAATACTATGCCGATGGAGGGGTAGGTCCACTAGTATCTTCCTACAAGGTGCATTCATGGACCGCCGGAGGTGCTAACACCCACTAGCTTATATACTACTGGCACTATCACCAATCTCTGCACCTTCGCACAGCACGTGCCCATAACCCTGTTACTCTGTTACTGTATATATGTATATACTTTAT